ACCTTCTGCTTTCACTCAGTTTGTCTTCTTTCTGGTGTGCAACTGACTGTGTATGTTTGTGCTTTTGAAACTGAAAATGGGTGTAGTTTAGCCTTTTGAAACTTATTGTCTAGGTCTTTCTGGTGTGACATTGCTTCTTTATTTTTGTGCTTTTGAAACTGAAGGTGGTTGTAGTTAATTTTCTGAAATTTATTTGGATGAGGGTTTATATAGCCTATCCCAACTAGCTTAGGATTGAGTTGAAGTTTTTGTAGTTGTCCGGTTGGTTTATTAATTGAGTAAAGATTATGTTTTTCTGAGTTTGCACTATTTAATTCTTTTGTCTAAGTATATGTTGTTTTCTCAATGGTCTTTCTGGAGTGCCACTGCCTGTATATGTGATGCTTCTGAAATTGAAGATGGTTGTAATATTATTTTTTGTAAAGGTTTGAATTTTTTAACTATTCATATTATAAGAGATAATTTTTAAGAAGTTAACTTTTAAAGGCCTTAAATTGCTTTACTGTTTGTGACTTTCTAAGCTCCACCCTTAAAAGCAGTGGTTAATGTCAAATTAATATGCTTTTGGTTTATTTGGTTAGTTTTGTTGATTTACTTTTATCGTATAGGATATCTATGGATAATGGTGATAAAAGTTGGATGAATCTCCTGAGATGGACAGATGAGTATATCCGTGGAGTGAATGATTTTCTTGATAAGGCGTTTGAACGAGCCGCCCAAGGAAATGAAATATTATGCCCTTGCAAAAAGTGCATGAATCGCTATTGGTATTATAGAAATGTGGTGGAGGATCATTTGGTTGTTCATGGATTTGTTGATGGTTATACCAAATGGGTTTTCCACGGGGAAGGATTTTCCTCGAGAAATACACATCATCCAAGCAATGATGATGAAAGTTCTACCATGCGTGACGATATTGATGGACTACTTCATGATACATTTAGAAATATAGAGGGTCAGGCAGGGGATGAAGAAGGAGTTGGGGAAAGACTATCTGAAGATGCAAAGAAGTTTTTCAAATTGCTGGAGGAAGGAAAACAAGAGTTATATCCGGGGTGTGAAATTTTAGTAAACTGAGTTTCACTATTCGATTGTACTTGCTTAAATCCTTGCATAGGTTGAGTAATGTGGCTTTCTCTGATTTGTTAGAGTTGATAAAAGAGGCATTTCCCTTTGCTCAGGTACCAGAATCTTTCAACAAGGCTAGAAACATGATAACAGATTTGGGTCTTCATTATGAAAAAATACATGCATGCCCTAATGATTGCATGTTATTTTGGAAAGAAAATGCGAATGCCGATAATTGCTCTATTTTTGGGTCTTCAAGATGGAAGAGTGCTGGTCCTTTGACTAAAGCAAGCTCTAAAATCCCTGCAAAGGTTTTAAGGTACTTTCCTTTAAAGCCTAGGCTTCAGAGGATATTCATGTGTCCTGAAACGGCTGCTGCAATGAGATGGCATGCTAATGAACGACCCAATGATGGGAATATAAGACATCCTGCTGATGGGGAAGCTTGGAAGGCTTTTGATTCTTTGCACCTAGACTTCTCTAGAGATGCTAGGAATGTTAGATTGGGTCTTTCAAGTGATGGTTTCAACCCGTTTCGGACAATGAGCATTTCTCATAGCACGTGGCCTGTTATGTTAATGAACTATAATCTATCACCGTGGATTTGCATGAAGTCGGAGTATATAATGTTGTCTATGATCATTCCAGGTCCATCATCTCCAGGAAATGATATAGATGTGTACCTACGACCATTAATTGAAGAATTGAAGGAACTATGGGAAACTGGGATAGACACATTTGATGCTGAAACCAACCAAACTTTCCGAATGCGTGCTGCCTTAATGTGGACAGTTAGTGACTTTCCAGCATTAGCAATGCTTTCAGGATGGAGCACTAAGGGGAGATTGGCATGCCCCACTTGCAATTATGACACATGTTCTCAATATCTCAAAAATAGTCATAAGATGTGTTACTTGGGCCATCGAAGATTTTTGCCTCGTGATCATCCATTCCTACGAGATAAAAAGTCTTTTGATGGTAAGGAGGAGCATAGACCTGCACCTGCTCCATTGTCGAGTGAAGAAGTGTTTGAAGAGCTGCTTGAATTCAACAATATCTTTGGAAAGAGAGCTAAAAAAAGGCCTCGGAGTGATAAGGGTCCGTGGAGAAAGAGATCCATTTTTTGAATTGCCATATATTAGGTGCATAACAAATTGAGGCACAATCTTGATATGATGCACGTCGAGAAAAACATATGTGATAGTTTGCTTGGGACTTTATTAGAAATAGATGGAAAATCAAAGGATCATGAAAAATCTCGCTATGACTTACAAGAAATGGGGATACGAAAGGAGCTGCAACCAAGAATAAATAATGATGGAACTGTAAGTTTGGCTAAATCTTGTTTCTACATGGAACCAAAACAGAAAAGTTTGTTTTGTACTGTCATGAAAAATGCTAAATTACCAAAAGGGTGTGCTTCGAATATTTCAGAACGTGTGCAAGTGAAGGAGATGAAAATATCAGGGTACAAGAGTCATGACGCCCATTTTATAATGCATTACTTGCTCCAGGTTGCTGTTAGAAAAGTGTTGCCCAAGAATGTTTCATTGGCCTTGATTAGGTTGGGAAATTTCTTTAGAGCTATATGTAGTAAGGTCATAAGGCGAAGAGATCTTGAAACAATGCAGTCTGAAATTGTTGAAATAACATGTGAGCTTGAAAAGATTTTCCATCCAACATTTTTTGACATAATGCCACATTTGCCTATTCATTTGGTGAATGAAATTAAGCTTGGGGGTCCGGCTCATCTTCGTTGGATGTATCCCATTGAGAGGAACCTATGTAAGTACAAGGCCTTTGTACGTAATCGATCTAGTCCAGAAGCATCAATAGCAGAGGGGTTTTTGGCCGATGAGTGCTTGACTTTTTGTTCGAGATATTTACATGATGGCGTGAAGACAAAATTTAGTAGGTACCAAACTGTGGATGATGAGTGCTCTCAAAATTTGTCACCTATATTCCCTAATATAGGCCATCCAATTGGAAGTAAGAAAAAAAATACTTTTCTCATGGATTCACAGTTATGCTTTGAAGCACATCGATATGCTCTGTTCAATACTGGAGATGAACAAATGGAAAAGTTTATCGAGTAAGATAAATTATATTAATATTTATATGTTTATATAATTTTTTCTTTAATATATGATTAAACTTGAAATGTTCTTGATTGCAGGGAACATAAGAATTTAATTGTTAATCATAGTAGATCAAATGCATGGGTAAGAGCAAGGGATCATAGTCGGGAATTCAGCAATTGGTTTAAAGAAAAAGTTAAAAATATTGTATTGCTAGATTATTTAAGATGGCTGGCCAAAGGACCTAATATAGTAGCCAAAAGATATACGGGATATTTTATTAATGGATACCGATTTCATACTAAAGAACGGGATTCCCGAGGCAAGACTCAAAATAGTGGAGTGACTTTATCGGCAACAACAGATAGTTTTGCTAGTGCTAGGGACCAAAATCCCATCGATGGCGAGGTTATCTATTATGGAGCGATTAAGGATATCATTGAGATTGATTATTGGGATTCTTTTAGTGTTGTACTGTTTAGATGTGATTGGCTTCGTAATGAAATAGATGATTATGGGTTAACTCGGGTGTACTTCAATAGATTATGCAGTACAGATGACCCTTTTGTGTTGGCATCACAAGTTTATCAAGTTTTTTATGTGGAGGATCCAATTGAGAAAGATGTTTATTATGCAAGGAGTAAAGTACCTGTTGATTTGTATGATCTGGAGGAAGAGAATTGTCCCAATATTGGAGACACATTTTGGCGGGAACCTAATAATGATATTGGTTCCTCATCTAGATTGCTTGATGATGAAATTAGATGGTCAAGAGAAGATGTACCAGTTGATATCATTGATATTCCATCTCATGCACAAAATTCACATGATACAATTGTGGAAACATTGGAGGAGGAGGATGGGTTTGATGATACTGATTGGGACTGGATGAAAGCAGATGATTAAATAACAAAATTATGAAATTCTTTTAAGTTAATTCTTTTTTGAGTGAGTGATAATGGCTTTTTTGTTTATAAATATTTTGCAGGATTTGAGAGAGATTTCGGATACTTTTGTTCGGTTGTTGAGGCCCGTCCCTTCTCCTACGTCCTCTTTGGTTTAGTTGGTAATTTCTATCCTCCATAAAATTTTGCTTTATGCCAGTGGTTCAGACATATTAACATTTTGGTGCACTAGAACAAACAAAAATGCTTGTAGAGAGAATAAGATTATATGAGTAAATAGTACTGATGCAACTTATAGATTTCCTTTCATCCTGTTTCTTTCCGCATCACAAATGTGCTGCAATAAACTTTGTGCCCTATGGTACAAGTTTGAGGATAAACTCCATCCTATAAAATCCATGTCATTAGTAAGTTATTAGTGTTTGTAATGCAACTTAGGATTCTGTTAGTTAACAGATGCTTGATGCTTCATCCTCCGGTCTGTCTAATAAGTGTCACTTGTGATAATAACAGAGCTTACTGTATGCACCTGTATGTAAAGTACAAGTTAAGCCAACTGACCTGATAAATAAGCATGGCAAAATGATCTGATTAGAGCAAGTGAAAAAGAGGCAAGAGAACCAGATACTGTCTACTGCTCATGTATTGGAGCTTGTTTCATGACCTTCACTCCTATAAAACCTATTTTAACTTATTGAAGTTGCTCTTCAGGTTTGGTATTGTATTGTGGACTCATTTTGGTACTTGTTTTAAAAGTATATCAAGGCTGGATAACAGCCGCTATGAGCAACTTCTGTTCTCCTTCAGGGAATTTTCAAGTTGCATGCTGGCTCCATTGATTATTAATGCACTGGTTTGTTAATTATAAGCATTAGAAGGTGACATCTAATGCAGCTGTCTTTTTTAGTTTTTCCTTAGAATCTGAAATTCTTTTCAAATAGAAATTGGAGACCCTGCATATACTGAAATAGTTATTTTGTTCTAGCATAGTGAACTTGGAGCTGATTGTCTGTCTCTGTATTTCAGGTTGCAGCTGAAGAACAGCCCGAGATATCTGAGTTGTACTCTGTTTCTGCTGTTCCTTACTTTGTATTCTTCAAGGTAACTCACATGAGAATTTGCTTTCCTTGTCCATGTACTGTTTGTACGTCTGCTTGTGTTTGTAAACCTGAGAGATGGAGAAGTGGTCTTCTTGTTATTATTTCATCTTTCTTCAACCAATTCTTTTATAGCTCCTACCTGGCATTTTCTGACCAGTCTTTATGTTTCTTATGTGGTTGTCTGCTCAAAAGATACTTACTGGGAAGGAATTTTAAGACATAACTCCGAATTTAGTATAATACTTTTAAGTTCTGAATCGTAAAGATGCGCAAGTTGGCCCAGATACTACCATTATCCCCACCAACAGAAAGTTCTAAACCTTGTGACATTTGTGTGTTGAAGCACTGACTGCAGATTTTAGGTGACTTAGTAGTTGGTGGGATACAACTTATAGATTTCTTTGCTGTTTGGATATAAGTAAAAGGTTTATATAGAAAATAGTTTGGGTGTTTAACAACCTGTGAGCCTGGTTCTTTGTGTGTATAAGTAGTAACTTGGCCAGCTTTCATATCCAATACTCCAGTGGTATTAGGAATGACTTGACCAATATTCAAAGCCCCCTATTCTTCTATTTTTTCTTGCTGAAGACCAGCCTGCTCAGTAGATTCAATCTGTTGCTGCACCCCTACTGACTTGCTGAATGTATTAGCTTGATCTCCACACCCATTCAGCTTACTATTAGTTTGCAAAGCTTAATTCACAGCCTTGTATATCCTCGCCAAAGCTGCAGTAGCAGGGATATCACCTCACTTCAGCATTTCTTTCATTTCTTTGGATTGAAATTTAGTGTTGATTTATTGTGCCTCAGTTGCAGCTCAAATTTCTGGGAAATTCTTGAATGGAAAGTTGTAATTGAGGCTTACAGTACTGTTGAATCTTTGTTCTTGAAGTTAAGATCGTATGATTAGATCTATCTGTTTGATTCACCTGAAATATATATTATTCATGCAGATTTTTGATATACTATGTTTGCTACTTTTGCTAACCTATATTGTGTTTGCTTTTCAGAATCTGAAAAATATTTGAATAGTCATGAATCAAGAAGGGTGCTCAAGCAAAAATAAGAAAATATCCAACCGCATTCCAGCTGGATCACTTGCATCTTTGTGAAATCAAAGGGTTTCGTCGTTGACAACAAAAAGAACCTTCCAAGCTACAAGGTCAAATGCAAATGAAGAACGACAATCAGAAGGTGGATTACCTTCATCTTTGCGAAACCAAAAGGTTTCGTTGTTGACAACAAAAACAACCTTGAAAGCTCTAAGGTCAAATGCACATGAAGAACGACAATCCGAAGGTGAATCTCAATTGCAAGAACAAGTGCAGCAAGTGCCACAGAATTGCACCTCTTCAGCAACACAAGGAGTACATGAACAAGTGCAACAAGCGAATATGGATTCCATCACTCCTGCATCACAGGGAGTACATGAACGATTTGATGATTCTACCACTCATGAAGCAGCTAAACAAATTGAAGAACAAGGCAATATATATAAATTTTAATCATAAACTTAACTAAAAATAATGATTAATCATTATCTTTGTTTTGTACTATTGCAGGCCCCTCCTCGCCAAAAAGAAAAAGAGGCCGTACTCACATGCCAAATGTTCATGGTAGAAAGGAGCGTAAAATAATCACTCTAAATGAGTATAATCAACCCGTTGGTCCTACTAAAGAGGTTGTAAAAGAGTTGGGTAGCTTCCTCGGCACATTGGCAAGGAGTGGGACTTTTTATCCTCTTAATGTATTTAATTGGAGGAAACTAGATACAAAAGATGATATGTGAAAATATATCAAGGTATGAAGTTTCCAATGTCCAATAAACATGAATGATATTTCTTATTTTTTATACTAACCCAATTGCACTAAATTTGTAGGAAAAATATGACATTCCTGACGAGGCAAAACAATGGGTTTTTGATTCAATTTGTAGTGCTTGGAGAAAGTATAAGAGTCAATTGAAGGCAACCCACTTCACAGCCTATGAGAATGATGAGCTTCGAATGAAGAATAGGCCAGTGGATGTTCCGGAATCTCACTTT